TACATGTTGATATTTTCTCAACAGATAGGAAATACTTCCTCACGTGTGTGGACAAATTTTCGAAATTCGCCATCATGCAACCGATAGCTTCCCGCACCATTGCGGATCTAAAAACTCCACTGTTGCAAATAATGAACGTGTTCCCGCCTGCAAAACAGAATTATTGCGACAACGAACCGTCGCTTAATTCAGAAACGATCAGATCGCTTTTGCAAAATAACTTTGGGGCCTACATCGCAAACGCGCCCCCACTACACAGCACCTCTAACGAACAGGTAGAGAGGTTCCACAGTACGTTGGTGGAAATTGCCAGATGCCTTAAAATGGCTAAGGGCATCGGCGACACAGTCGACCTATTCTTGCAGGCAACGGTGGAATACAACAAATCAATACATTCGGTCACGAACAAAAGACCCGTAGACGTTTTTCACGCCGCTACGGCAGACTCTCACAGAGAGATACAAAATAGGGTCCAGAAAGCTCAGGTCGTGCAAAACAATCGAATAAACCAATCCAGACAAAACAGAAGCTTTAGGGTAGGAGAAAAAGTGTTAGTAAAGTCTAACAGGAGCCTCGGAAACAAGTTGACTCCGCTATATGTGGAAGAAGCTGTGGAGGCGGACTTGGGGACAACAGTCCTGATTAAAGGGAGGGTGGTCCATAAGGACAACCTTAAGTAATTACTCCCGTTAGGTTTAAGAACATAAATGGTGGTGGTCCTTACCAGTTGATTTTATTTTTATTCGTGTATTTTATATTAATTTTTATCCGCAGGTTTTTCTGGGTACTTCATCTCTTGACAATAGTTGTGGCCCGCGTCACTGACTATTCCCATTCCCACTACATCCCCATTACAGATGGGACGGTACTAGTGTGGGAAGATTTAGATTATATTAGACACATAGCCAACTTAACAGAATACAGCCGCATTGCCGACGAGACCTTAAGAATGACAGACCTCTTTCCAAGTTATCACATGAGACAACTGCTGGAAGTTGACTCCAACCACGTCAAAGACATGCTGGCCGATATTGGTATTCACCATAGGCTGGCGAGAAGTCTAGACTTCCTAGGGAATAGCCTCAAGGTAGTGGCCGGTACACCGGCTCCGACCTGGAGACCATAAGGTTACGGAAACGCAGCTGGTACAATCAAACAATAGACAGATAGTAATTAATACAATAAACACTCTCACCGATACCGTTAATCAGATTATTAGCATAGAAAAGAAAGAGCACATAAATTCAGCCCACTTGTACGAAACAGAATTCTTATTACAGAGTTAGGGAACCTGATGCTCACAATAACCTTGGCCAAAGCCAACATGGGCAGCCCCTCCACTCTTGACCATGCTGACACAGAATCCATTCTCCGCAATCAGTTCCCAAGGGTTTCAATTTCAAATCTTTTAGAATTATCTAGTATTGAAATTTTACAATCGAAGGTTAGGTTAGGTTAGGTTGAAGCGGCTGTCGGGATCGTCAGAGACCCGACACACCTAGGCCGGTTTCGGCCCGTTGTGATACCGCATATACGTTCCCTTCTCCCTCGTGAGACCCTATGTTATCCATTATCCCATCCGGATGCCCTTATGAAGCCTGCGATCCGTCTGGGACTGATTGTAGTAATGTCCGAAATGTCAATTAGAAAAGGAGCGCCCAAGTATTGCAGTCTCCTTCTACTGAGAGCCGGACAGGAGCAGAACAGGTGTTCCACAGTCTCCTCCTCGTCCTCATCTCTACAGCTTCGACAGTAGTCGTTATATGGGGCGCCCAGCCTGTTTGCATGTGTGCCTATTAGCCAGTGTCCCGTAAGGGAGCGTATGACTGAGCTGCACCTACTCCTACTGAGTTTGCAAAGCTCATCGGTGCGCTTCCTAATAATGTTAGGCCATGTTTGCCGAGTTATGCGACATAGTGACACGGTTTGCCATCTGTCATTTATTAATCGCTTAAAATGTTCTTTTATTTTGAGCTTGCAGGTGGCCATTGGCATACGAATATCCTCCTTATCATGGAGAAGGGGGATTGTTGTGCCAGCTCTGGCCAGCTCGTCCGCTATGCAGTTGCCTTCAATGTCCTGGTGGCCCGGGACCCATATTAGGCTGATGACGAACTGATAAGCCATCTCATGAAGAGATTTGCGACAATTTGCCACGGTAGCCGAGCTTGTTGTTATCGCATTCAGCGATTTGATCGCAGCTTGGCTGTCACTGTAGATATTTATATGAGTTGCCGCAGGGGCTAGTTCCTGAAGACAGCTCAAAGCTTCCTTGATCGCTATGACTTCCGCTTGGAAGACACTGCAGTGATCCGGGAGCCTGAAGGATTGTCTTATGTTCAGCTGTTCGGAGTAGATTCCTCCTCCGACCTTGTTGTCCAGCTTTGAGCCATCAGTAAAGATATTGGCTCCCTTTGGACCAGGTGGTCCTTCGAGCCAGATCTTTCTGTGAGGGATGATTGTTTCGAAGGGGGTATCTGTATACTCCCTCGGAACGCAGTAGTCCGTTTTTGTGGGGACGATTTTGTTTCCATTTAGGATGGACGCATGACCGGTGTGATGTGACACCCATTGGTCAGAGTCTCTAAGACGGATTGCTGCCATTTCTGCCTGCTCCTTACCTGCAAGGTCAAGGCTCTGCAGGCATAGGATAGCATTTAGCGCATCCGTTGGTGTTGTGCTTAGAGCTCCACTGATGCATAGGGCTGCAGTGCGCTGCACCTTGCCCAGTGGTTTAGTGATGGTCCCCTTCGATAGGGCAGGCCACCACACAGCGACTCCGTAGAGTAGTATTGGTCTAACTATTGCCAGGTAAATCCATTGGACTATTCTTGGGTTCATGCCCCATTTTAGCCCAATGGCCTTCTTGCAAGTGTAGAGGGCTATCGTAGCCTTCTTCACTCTGTCTTTGATGCTCAGGTTCCAGCTAAGTTTTTTGTCCATTACCAACCCTAAGTAACTGGCACTGTCGTTGAAGGAGAGCCTACATCCGTTTAGTATTGGGGGGTTGAGGGACGGGATTTTGTATTTGGTTGTAAGCAATACAAGTTCCGTTTTAGAGGGATTGATTCCCAGTCCACGCGACTCTGTCCATTCTGAGAGTCGCGCGAGCTTTGCGGTCATTAGATCGCAGAGTGTTTGAGGGAATTTTCCCGAGAAAATAATGGCAACGTCATCCGCGTATGCTACCACCTTGCAGCCCCCCCCTTCCAGGTCACACAGAATCTTGCTGACTGCTATGTTCCATAGAAGGGAAGACAGGACACCACCTTGCGGGGTGCCTCTGTTGACATACCTAGACTGAGTGGACGATCCCATTGATGATGTCACTGTCCTGCATGTGAGCAATTGATCTATGAGCATCACCAAGTGACAATCCACTCCCAGGTCAGTCAGGGCCTCTGTGATGGCTCCTGGTATGACGTTGTTAAAAGCTCCCTCAATGTCTAGGAAAGCGATTAAGGAGTATTCGTTGACGTGTAGAGATTTCTCTACCTCCGAGATTACTTCATGGAGTGCCGTTTCCGTGGATTTTCCTTTTCGGTAGGCATGTTGAGCGCCTGACAGCCACTGAGGATTTATGGTTGTCCTCAGCTGCAGCCCGACTAGTCTCTCAAAGGTTTTGAGAAGAAAGGACGATAGACTTATTGGTCTGAAGTCTTTTGGGGTTGCGTGTGAGGGTTTCCCTGCTTTGGGGATAAAGACTATTTTAGCCTTTACCCAAGCACGGGGGATTTTTCCCACTGTCAGTATCTTCCTGAAGATACTTTGCAGCCAGTTGATGGCCATGTCCCCGGCTTTTTGTAACTGAGCCGGAATGACTTGGTCCGGGCCAGGCGATTTTTAATATTTAAAGCTGTTTACTGCCCAGCTAATATTCCGTTTTGTGAGGATGTGCACCATCGAGGTTTCCGGGCCTTCAATTGGGGTGTCTGCCGGCTCGATGGTCGTACACCCAGGAAAATGAGTATCGAGTAGAATGTGTAGGGAGTCCTCACTAGAGTTTGTCCACGTACCATCCGTTCTCTTGAGGTATCCCACCGAGGGGGATGTTTTTGACAGGATCTTGTGTAGCCTTGCGGCTTCTGACGTGTCTTCAATTTCGGAGCAAAATTTGTGCCAAGAGGCCCTTTTTGCTCTCCTTGTTTCTTTTTTGTATAGGGTTAGCTTACTTTTGTAATTTTCCCAATGCGCTTCCTCGCTGCTGCTTTTGGCTCTGTTAAAGAGAGTCCTGCAGTCTTTCCGGAGGGTATCTATATGTTTAGACCACCAGGGGGGTTTCTTTTTCCCTCTTGGTTTGGTTGGGGGGCAAGCTGCCATGAAGGCCTTGTTGCAAGCTTCCGTGAAATTGTCCACAAGACGATTACGATCGTCTTGTGTGTCCGGGCATTTTGGGGCAAGGGGGATGAGTAATTCCTCCATTTTTGCACTATACATATCCCATTTGGCTTTCCTTGGATTAATATAGCTAGTGGGTTTGGTGCTTTCGAGCGATAGGATTGTCTCGATGTACCTGTGGTCGGAGAAGGAGTGGTCCTCTAGGACTCTCCAACTTTCCATTATGTCTGACAGTTTGTGAGACAATAGAGTGAGGTCAATAACCTCTTGACGGATTTTTATGATAAAAGTGGGGTCATTACCCCGATTACCAATAATTAGGTTGGAGTTCAGGATGAAGCTGAAAAGTGACTCACCCCTTACATTTGTATCTGAGCTCCCCCATTGGGTGTGATGAGCGTTGGCATCGCAGCCTATTAGTAGGCTTGCCCTCATCCGACCTCTCGCTGTTGCTGGGTATTTTTGGGGGGGGGTTTTTGGGGGGGTTTTTTTGTGAGCCATGTAGGACGACACCAGGTTCAGGCGTGTCCCCTGTAGCTCTATGCTAGCCGGCGCTGTTGTCGCCATTGCTAAAATTTTGGGGCAGAAAAATTTTTGGGGGTTTTTTTTTTATTTTTGGGGTTTTTTTTTTTTTTTTTTTTTTTTTTTTTTTAATCTGTTGAGAGTAGCAGCAGCGAGTTGGCAGGGGGCTGTTGTTAACAGCCGGAGCGCGCTCTCTCTTGCCTGGCGCTAGCGAGTTGGCGGGCAGCCAGCTCACTAAGCGGGAGTTCAGTATGCTACCCACCCCCGTACATTCCGGTACGCGTCGATACATAGAATCGTTTTATATTCACACCCACATACATACACACATACAATCAAACAACCGCGCCGTTTCGAGTGCCCAATAAACCAATTTGTTAACGATCATACTGTGCCTATTCATTGCGGGACACTTTGGATCTGCTGAGGGCTTATCTGCAGCACTAGGAAGCGCCCTACTACAAACATTGGTCCTTCGAGCCGGATTCTTGCTGAATCGAGATTGTCCCAGCAAGCATCGGTGGATTCCAGAGAGAACTGCAGATAAGTACGCTCATATTGTGCCGCCAATCGATTCCTTCCGCGATTGGCGTTCCGCACTATTCACGTCCGAGTGTCCACTTATCCATATGTACATATATTCTTATGTACATATTGTCCGATCTCACTAACACTTTCCGTTAGCTATTAGCAATTATCCGCTACACAGCCACAATACCGGCGTCCGACACGTATGTATATATGCATGTGCATATGTTGTGCCTGATTCGCACACACATACCCCGCCCCCAATAAAACACTCATCCGAAGTGATTTATTGGCGTTGTTTATTGTATTTATTGTGTATATCGAATTGGATATTCTTACAATCTTATTTTCACTCAATACTTCTCATAAATAATAAACCTCATTAATCCCGGTGGGAAAATACCTAAAAAAAAATACCGATTACTCCACATCTACATACCACACTTAGTATATGTAGGCACGAACGCGTTCGTCCGATACGCGGTACCAGCACTCCGCTGCTTATGCAAATTTCGCAATTACCAAGAATTTAAGCATTCCAGGCGCCCCTAAAGTGACCCACAGCCCGAGCAATTTCCCCCACATCCGGGATAAATTCATCCAACAAGAGGCACAGCTCATTTCCGCAGTCTTTTTTGCATTTTTCCGCGCCAAATTCCAAATTGCAAAAAAACTAGAGGTGACAAACCAAAAAAAAACCTAGTGGTGGCAAAAATAAAAATATCGCTCACGGGCCTCGTATCCATCGAGTAGTTAATATTTTTTCGCAAATCACCTTGTCCATCGCCCACTACGACTAAATCCATTCCAGTACCGATATTTAAACATATCGTAGTCTAGTGCGGATCCCGATTGTGATTCTTTTGTGCGCCAAAACCGCGGGGAACAGGAAAAATATCCTTTTTTCTTGCGTCATATCATCCGATAGTTTTCCCGAACACTTCCGTTTTCGCTCTAAGATCGTCTTACACATCACCCACTACGACGAAATAAAATCCAATACCGATATATCAAATATCGTAGTCTAGTGCTGATTCCGTTTTCGACTTTTTCGTGCATTAAAACCACTGCCAATAAGAAAATATCAATTTTCTTGAGGAATATCGTCCGATAGTCGTGCTCGACAGGAAAACAATTCCTTGTTGTTCTGCCTCTGGTGTGGTGTCCATTTCCGCTTTATCCGCACAGTCCTCATTTGGCGTTCATTTGTGCTTCCGCGTGCGGTCCTTCTTAGTATGCCAACAGGTGTGGAAGACAACAAGAAGTTTTTGGCGGTGCCTACGCCTGGTAGATCAAGGCCATCTAGCTCATCCGTGCCATCAACGCCGACCTCGGGGACTCAAAGGGCAAGGTCCTTAGGTACTCCAAGGGCTTCCACGAGTGCCACGGCGGCGACGACCAAATCGGTGCTGTTTCCTTCGCCGATCACGACTAAGGTGCTTTCGCCTCCATACCCGCAACTAGTCGATCCTCGCTCCACACTTCCAATGGCACAGCCGATTGTCACCTCCGCACGGGCCAAGTTTGTGGCAGCCATCGATAGGCTGACCACCTTGGAGGCACGGCTCACCACTCCAGGGACCGCCACCCCATCCTCCGCGGTCTCACAGGTCCGTCGTGACCAGCTCAAAAACATGTGGGCCAAGGTGGATGCTGAATTTGAGGCATGTTCGCTGGCAATGCTGTGCGAGGCCCCTGAAGACCAAGAGGAAATTCAGAAAATGTATGGCGAGTGCTATGAGGGCTATGAGCGGTGCGTGGCGGACCTCATAGCCCAAATAGACCGCCCAGACCTCCGACCTCCCGGGCCGCAGACCTCCCAGGGCGGTTGTCGGCTGCCCCCCTGTGACATTGAAGTTTTCGCAGGGGATTACGTTCGCTGGCCGACGTTCCGCGACCTATTCACAGCGATTTATATAAACAATCCGAGGCTGTCCCCGGTGGAAAAGCTGTACCACCTCACTACTAAAACCCGTGGCGATCCGAAAGCCATAGTAGAAAAGTCCCCACTTACCAATGACGGTTTCGAGGCAGCATGGTCAGCCCTCCGTAGTCGATATGAAAATAATCGACTCCTGGTGACCAACCAGATAAATATCCTGCTATTGCTGCCTCGCGTGGGTTCCGAGACTAGTCGTGCCTTGAAAGAGCTTCAGAGCACCATTCAAGGTGTTCTAACTGCTCTGGCCCACTCCAAGGTCTGCACAGACAATTGGGATAGTATTCTGGTGACCATCTGTGCATCCAAGCTGCCAAAACTGACCCGGGCTCTGTGGGAAGCGTCAGTGACTGACAAGAAGGAAATGCCTCCATGGACGGAAATCGACTCCTTCCTGACACAGCGGTACCTGACGCTAGAGGCCATGGAGAGCGACCCTTCCCAGGCTAGAAGCGATCCGCATCAGCAACCGTCCAAAGGCAGTCAAAATCCGCAATCCTCCGGAAGCCACGCCAACCCATTCCGGTCTCAAGGCAGTCCTCCTCCGAGGAACTTTCACTCCTTCAAGACCCACATTAATCCGAAGCAGTGCGATCTCTGCTCCAAAGAGAATCATCCGGTCCGGCTCTGCCCGCACTTCCTCCAAATGGACGTTGAAGCACGTTCAAGCTGCATCAAGACGAAGCAGTTGTGCTTAAACTGTTTTGCCCGAGGTCACCAGCTCCGAGAGTGCACCAGCGCCCACAATTGTTTCACGTGTGGAGCCCGTCACCATACACTGCTGCATCGCGGTACTCCTGCCTCCAGTGAGTCGTCCACATCCGCGCAAATTTCCAATTCGTCCGACGCTCAGCCCACCGTGCAAAATTATTTCACCTCGGGCACCAGGCCCGTTCTTCTAGGCACGGCAATAATTAACATTTGCCACCTGGGGACAAATTTCCGCGCCCGCGCTCTAATCGACTCGGGCTCCGAGGCTACGTTCATTACGGAACGGCTTTTTAACATCATCAAACTACCATTCCGCCTTATTCAGGCACAAGTCTCAGGCCTGAGTCAGTCGGTAGCAGCTCAGTCCAAGAAGCTCTGCCACTTTTCCATTCGTTCCCCGACTAAGCCGGGCTTGCAGTTGAAAGCCGCGGCTTACGTATTGCCGGAACTAGCAGGCAATCTCCCGTCATATCCAATTCCGCTAAGTGCGTTGCGAGATTTGCCGAACCTGCCATTAGCTGATCCCACCTTCTATGAGAGCTCGCAGATAGATGTCCTGATCGGAGCCGATATCCTTCCCTCCATCCTTCTGAGCGGTTCACAGACCGACATTTGTGGCTCTCTCCTTGGGCAGGAAACGATTTTCGGGTGGTTGCTTACTGGTCCGGTGCCCAGTGCCCCCCCGAACCGAATCGCATCTTTCTCCACACAAGTGTCCAACGTCCTCGATGCTCCATTAGACAAGCTCCTCACAAAGTTTTGGGAGGTGGAGGATCTACCAACCAAGTTAGTAGGAGAGTCCGATTCCTATTGCGAAAGCAACTTCCTACAAACCACCACGAGGGCAACAAGCGGAAAATACATGGTAACCCTACCATTCCGCGACCCGGGTCATCTCGGGTCTGGCCTAGGGTATTCAAGGTCCATCGCACTAGCCCAGTTCTTAAGGAACGAGAATCGGCTGAAGAGAGATTCGCCGTTGCACGAACAGTACGTTTCCGTAATCCAAGAATACTCAGATCTGGGCCACATGACAGAGGTCCCTCCGAGCCACGACTCCAACAACTACTATCTCCCTCACCACGCAGTAATCAAACCCGATAGCACTACAACGAAGCTTCGTGTGGTGTTTAACGCATCCAGCCCATCCGCGAACGGAACGAGCTTGAATGACCTCCTTCACGCGGGCCCGGTCCTACAATCCGATTTGACCCTTCAGATTCTGAAATGGCGCTACTTCCGATATGCGTTCAACGCCGACATCACCAAAATGTACCGTCAGATTTGGGTGGATCCAGAACACACTCGTTTCCAGAGAATCTTGTTTCGAAACGCAGAGGGGGAAATTCGTGATTACGAATTGAAAACCGTCACCTTTGGCGTCAACTGCGCCCCCTTTCTCGCCATTCGAGTCCTTCAACAGCTTTCCAACGACGTCCAATCGCAATTCCCCAGGGCTAGTCATATCATTCGGCACTTTATGTACGTCGACGATGTCCTCGCCGGCGCTGACTCCACACAGGAGGCTCAGCTAGCCATCCGCGAATTACAGGCCGCCCTCAGTTCGGCAGGTTTTCCGCTACGAAAGTGGACAGCCAACCACAAGGACGTATTGGCCGAGATTCCGAGTGACCACCTCCTCCACACTGATTTCCTGGAGATTGACGCACAGAGCACGGCAAAGACCCTCGGCATTCGCTGGAAAGCGACCTCCGACGAGTTCTTCTTTGTTCCTCCGGTGCTCTCGCTTGAGTCATCCTACACCAAGCGAGAAGTCCTCTCGCAGATAGCGAAACTGTTTGATCCTGCAGGGTGGCTGGCACCGTTCATCGTCCGCTCCAAGATCTTCATGCAGGAAATTTGGTTGCAGGAACTGGAGTGGGATGAGAACCTTCCGAACGAACTGTGTCAATACTGGCAAGCCTTCCTGCGTAGTTACTCCTGTCTCACCAAGATCCGTATCCCAAGGTGGATTGGTTCCCAGCCATCCGTTAAGGTGGAGCACCATGGGTTCTGTGATGCCTCAGAAAAGGCTTACGGCGCCGCGATTTATGTTCGCGTTGAGATGGGCCAGCGTATCGACGTGCATCTACTGGCAGCGAAGACACGAGTTGCGCCCGTAAAAACCGTATCGCTTCCCCGGTTAGAGCTGTGCGGGGCCGTGCTTCTAGCCGAAATGGCGACGGCTATCCTGCCAAGTATGCCGACGACAGGGTCTACCTGTTACTACTGGACAGATTCCACAATCGTTCTCGCCTGGTTGAACAAGCCTGCATGCCATTGGACCACCTTCGTGGCCAATCGAGTGACGAAAATCGCTCAAACCACCGAGACCCAAAAGTGGTCTCATGTGCGCTCCGAGCACAACCCGGCGGATTTAGCCAGTCGGGGGGTTCCTCTACAGGATCTGGTTGACAACCATCTCTGGTGGCATGGGCCCTCGTGGTTACAGCAACCACGCTCTCAATGGCCGCTCCAAGATCAGGAAACCCCCGTCATAGACCTCGAGCAGCGGGCTGTGAAAGTCCATTTCACAACCAGCCCACCCGAAGACTTCCTCGAGCGATTCTCCACGCTTGAAAAAGCTCTACGAGTCCGCGCGTACGTCCTGCGTTTCCTAAAGCGCTGCCGAAAACTACCGTACGCACAGGAGATCCATCCTACAAGCGGGGAAATTAACGAGGCTGAACGAACTCTTATCCTAGAAACTCAGCGCCGAGAATATTCTCAAGAGTATCACTCCTTACGTGAGAAGCGTCCAGTGCCTCGATCAAGTTCTATCCTGAATTTGAATCCGTTTATGGATCAACATGGGGTCATACGCTCCTGCGGCCGTGTATCTACGGCGCAAGGGCTGAAGTATGACGAGCGACATCCCATAATTCTTCCGTATAACTGTCGTTTGTCGCGACTCCTCACGCAGTTCACACACCGGATCACTCTTCACGGGGGCAGCCAATTGATGGTGCGACTTATCCGATCCAAGTATTGGATTCCACGGATTCAGAAGCTGATGAAGGGTGTCGTGAACTCTTGCAAAGTGTGCCTTATCCACAAAAGGAAGTTGCAAACTCAACTGATGGGGGATCTCCCCAGGGAGCGAACTTCATTCTCCCGACCGTTCACGCACACCGGAATTGACTACGCCGGTCCCTTCGAAATCCGCAACTACACAGGGCGGGCGTGCCTTATTACCAAGGGGTATGTGTGCGTGTTCGTGTGTTTCTCCACGAAGGCTATTCATTTGGAGCCTACGTCCGACCTCACCACCGAGAAATTTCTCGCTGCCTTCGCGCGGTTCGTCGCGAGACGAGGCTGTCCACAGAGTATCCACTCCGATAACGGCAAGACCTTTGTGGGCGCAGCCACAGTACTGGCCCGTGATTTCCTAGAAGCATTTAAGGACTCTGTGATTGATGCGTATAGTCACCAAAGGGTCTCGTGGAAATTCATCCCACCAGGGGCCCCACATATGGGGGGACTTTGGGAAGCCGGAGTGAAGAGCTTCAAAACCCTGTTCTATAAGGCCACGTCCACTCGTAGATACACCTTCGAGGAGCTCTCCACGCTTCTCTCGAAAATAGAGGCGTGCCTTAATTCCAGACCGCTCTCGCCTATGTCCGAAGATCCGACGGAGTTACTGGCCCTAACTCCCGGGCATTTCCTTACGGGGGGGACCCTTAATGGCGACGGCGGAGCCAGAAGTTAAGGGTGACCTCACCTCGATCATAAATCGATGGCAACATCTGAAGGCACTCAACCAACAGTTCTGTCGTAGGTGGAAAGAGGAATACCTCAAGGAACTCCACAAGCGGACCAAATGGCAAACGCCCACGCCCAATCTGCAGATTGGTGATATGGTCGTCGTCAAGGAAGACAACTTGCCGTCTAATGAATGGCGTCTCGGACGAATCCATTCCGTGTACCCCGGCGCCGACGATCGGGTCCGTGTAGTCGACATCCTCACTGCACGGGGGGTCCTCAAAAGGCCCGTCGCAAAGGTCGTTCTTCTGTCCGTAGAACCTCCTCGCTCCATCCAACATTAACGAAGAGCGTGCGCGTCCCCCGCTTCCTATCCCGTTACTAACCCGTCTCCTATTCTTTGTCTTCTTCTTTCGCCATAGTTTCCGTATTTAGAGATGGCTCCACGGTCTCGTAACACCCGCACTTCGGAGAGTAGACGTTCTCGAGGTAGTAACTCCTACCGTTGCCGAGTCTGCTCCGGAAGCCATCCGCTCCGTGCCTGCCGACGCTTTCTTCGCCTGGACGCCGAGAAGAGACTCCGAGCCGTCTTGATTAACAAGTACTGCGCTAATTGCCTGGCTCATCGGCACTCCGGCAGAGACTGCCGCAGTACCAAGGGCTGCAAAGTGTGCGGTGGGAACCACCATACGCTACTCCACAACCGTGCGTCCCAGCGTTCAGGCCGCGCTTCCGGACCAGCCCCTCCGGCGGCTCCAGCCTCTAGCGTTGAACGACGCCGTCGTCTCCCCGAAAACCGCCCCGTCGTGGAAGATCCGGCACCATCCGTGGCTACGCTCCTCCAGAACCGGAGCATCAACGTTCTCCCGACGGCCCTGGTGGTCTTAGATACGGGTTCCAGAACTTTTGAGACAGTGGCTCTTATAGACCCCTGTACCCCAGTGAGCAGCATCGACGAGTCATTGGCCATCGCCTTCAAACTGCCCTCCACGCGGGTTGGCACCGAGAAGGTGTGCACTGCGACTGTCCGCGCCAAGAATGGAAACTTCCAAGTGGACGCAGTGCTGAAGGTCGAGCCCCGCCTGCGCGTCCGCACGCCACTACGCCCCGTGACCGAGGCGGTGCGAACCCGTTTCGACGACATTCGCCTCGCCAACGAGCGCTTCCATCGCCCATCCACTGTCTCCCTCGTGCTCGGCGCCGACGTTTACCAGAAGGTGATCCAACCCGGGTTCCTCGCCCTAGGAGAAGGTCTTCCCGTGGCCCAAAGCACCGTATTCGGATGGATTGTTTCTGGGGCGTGCACTCAGCCATAGAGGTTCTCCATTGCAGTCCTGCAAGGGGGGGGAGGATGTTGAGAGTAGCAGCAGCGAGTTGGCAGGGGGCTGTTGTTAACAGCCGGAGCGCGCTCTCTCTTGCCTGGCGCTAGCGAGTTGGCGGGCAGCCAGCTCACTAAGCGGGAGTTCAGTATGCTACCCACCCCCGTACATTCCGGTACGCGTCGATACATAGAATCGTTTTATATTCACACCCACATACATACACACATACAATCAAACAACCGCGCCGTTTCGAGTGCCCAATAAACCAACTTGTTAACGATCATACTGTGCCTATTCATTGCGGGACACTTTGGATCTGCTGAGGGCTTTCTCACTAGGAATCCCCCCCCCCTTTTTTTTCCTTTTTTTGTTTTTTTTTTTTCGCTTCTCCACCACTGTTATGTCGGCGTCAGAGTCGTCGAGGATCTCGGCCCGACACAACGCCTCAAAATCGAGCATCAGCTCCGTCTCCGAGGAGTAGCTCTCCAGGGCCGGCTCCGGCTCCGGGTCTACTTCGGGTGCCTCGATCTCCGAGGCAACGTCCTGCTCAACTGGGTTGTTGACAGAACGCGCCTCGGCCGCTGCATCCGACTTATAGACCTTCATGGTCACCGAGCTGAACCCGAAGTTAAGCTCTCCCCTGGCTGCCTCGATCGGGGCTAACGATTCCTTGTTCAGCACAACCACCGCCTGATTTGTGGGGCCCTTTGATGCCTCCACTTTGACCACCTTCCAATCTGAGGTTGGCAGTGTGGGGTTGCATCTCTGCAACATCGTGAGGATCCGCTCGGGCTCCTTGAAAGTGGCCGGTACCCATATACGGGCCCTTGGTCTACTGGGCACCTCGCTCCAGTCCACAGCGACGAGCTTCGCCCCGGCGTAGACCACCGATTTGCGCCACCGCAGCTTTGTATAGCTTTACGGAGCGCTCATCCTCGCAGGCTACCACTTTGATGCTCCCCTGGAACCATCCCATGTCTTTGCAGACTGGGAGTGGCCCGGGATCCTTCTCGAGAAGTTCGAAGCAGCGGTCGGCCAGTGCCGCTTCCACCCACTTCCACTGGCTTCTGGGTATTTTCCCCTCCGCGCTGCCTTTGTCGAGAACGCCTATCAGCGTCCTCTCCTTGGCAATCTGCGCGAAGGATACATTTGGTATAACCCTGGATCGCTTCGCGACAGGTCCGGGCGTCTCTTGAGAGCGCTGCCTCTTCGGTTGGGCGGCCACCTTCTGTGGCTCCACACTGGGCAACACCACCGAGGCCCATTCCACTTTCTTCAGCCAGTCTGCTGTTGGACTGACTTCCTGGCTTGCGTTCTGCCGACGGAGTATGTGCCCAGCACTCCTCTTTTCGGCATAACTGAATTTTTTGGTTTGGACGCTGGTTGATGGTAAGCCATCACCCGCCGGTTCACCGGAAGGTTGAGCAGCCACAATATTGCTTAGCTGCCCTACCATGGTATCAGTTTTGGGTGTTGGCTTTCCACCCATCCCAGGTTTGGGATGGGACCCACCCGGATTCATACCCGCGTCCTTCACCGTGCAGGTCTTTCCTGCGTCTGAGCGGATTTGGCCAGGCCTTTGGGCCTTCTCTTGCTTGGGGTTTCTCCCTGTAGGCATTTGGGGAGTGCCTCTCTCGTTTTTGTTTTTGTTGTTGTTTATGTTATCGAATTTGTCCATGTAGTTCCCACGAGCTGCAGAGAAGGGGAACGGTCCACCCCGGCAGAGCTCTGCGTTACCCGGGTAAGGCATAATTAGAACAGGGGGCTGCCAAGTCCCTGAGCTCTCCGTTCACGACTGGGCTAGTTTTTATACCGGGCCCCCAGCCAGGCTGACTCTTGGCACGGGTCGAGTGACACCTTAGTCCGGCCCGGTGTGCGGTGAGTGTTGGGGCTGGGATGTGGGTAGGTGTTGTGTAGGGATGGGATTGTGCGAGCTACTTAATGAGAGGCGGCACCACAAGCGCATCGTCAGTGTTGCTGCGTCGCGAACACCCGCTGGCTGTCCGGGACTGCTTATTTCAGTACTCTCCCTCAGAACCAACTTAGTTGATACTCTTTAAGATGCCCGCTTATTCGCAGCTGACCTACCCACTAGGGTAGGCCGTTCGCTATCCGCAACCTGCGACCCGTCCGGTGGCCTCAGCTAGGCCCCCTCTGAGCCACCTCAAAGCCCAATAGGATCATCGGATTTACAATCGAAAAATGTTATCCATTTTATTATAGGGTATCCTAGAGTAAGTTTAGCTTGTAAGAACGTCATGCTATTCCCGGTTGAGCACAACGGCACCGTACTACAACTAACGGAGAACATCGTAGCCGAATGCGAAAGCCAGGTGTGGGCCGTTACGGGCTGCGTCTCCACCACTACCACCACCTTCTGCCAGAAGGAATTGAGTGTTTCCTGTGCGCGGGGCTACATTCTGGAGGCACTGCGCATTGCCGCTCTCAACCCAGCCACCTGGTACCCGTCACCGGGTACCACCCTCCACGATCAGTTGCGACTCAGACACGCTGGTCAAAACTACCGGTACTCAACTGGTCGCATTCACTGACTTCGCCACCATTAACGGCTCCCGCTTCCGGAATCGCGACAATGTTGAGCGGCGAGTGCCCGTGATCGCTTCGGTGCCTGCCTTGAACATCACGGAGCACCACAAGGTCTTGAGCCTGCCATTCCTACACCAGCTCAGTGAGGCCAACCTCAACTACATCAAAGAAGTTGAGCAAACCGCCGCGAGCAAGGTGGATCCCATCATCGCCCTTGGATTGGGAATAATCTTGTGCGGAGCCATTGGCAGTGTCGTCTACTGCAAATCCCTACTCAAGAAGAGAAGGGATTTGGCCCAGGTCAGCACGATGCTGGAGAACCTGAGAGGGTCGAGGGCGACCACTCTTGAAGAGGGGGAGTAGTTAACACTCCCCACCAGCCATAGGGTATCGGCAAAGTTCTTAGTTATAAGAATGCTGACCCAGCGCTGGCATGGAAAGGGGCGGCAACATATTACTATGTTGCATAAACATCCGCCCGACCAACTGGGTCCGCACGAGGCGCTGACGCAGCAAAGCTGGAGGCCGCTGCTCGCGCAGCGCTGCCCAGGCTGGGGGGCCCTATGCATAATAATATCATTTTGTACTTTAAGTCTTTTACTCACTTTGAACCGCGCCAGTAGGCCGGAATAAAATTATATAGAACATATCCGATCTTTCTCTGCCGATGGCTAATGCCGCGGCTTAAGTAACAGGAATATAAGAATAATTAATGTATATTCTTGATCAGCATCAATAGCCGAGTCGATATAGCCTTGTCCGTCTGTCCGTCTCGATGAGCGCCTAGATCTCAAAGACTATAAGCGCTAGGGAAACCAAATTTGGTTTCCAGACTCATGTGATATCAGACTGCTACAAGTGTATTTCAAAATTTCGCCCCGCCCTCTTTCGCCTCCACAAAGGAGGTACGATAAAACTAAAAACGCAGTTTTGGAGAGAATGACCATACCTACCAGACTGCCGAATCTGAATCAGATCATAATTATAGCCAGAATAAAGAAATTAATTTTCAGTTGCTTCCCCCGCCCCTCCAACAAGAGACACGTTACTCATTCTCTTTCTCGCTTGCACACTCTGCCGCGTTATATACGCGAGCGCCCACTGGCGGTGAAAATGTATAATATAAATGGTACATGTATAATCTACATGTTAAATGTAGAATTGTAGATGTAGCAAAAATTTTTAAATTATTTTTTTTAATTCTAAAGATCTAAAAAATTATAAGCTCAAATTTGTATATAATGACTGAGTACGGGTACAAGCGACTCACACGTTTCTTCTCGTTTTTAATAGATTTGGGGCATTACATTTGTTTAATGAATTTTCTTTTTTTTTTCAGAACTTTTTTTTAAAGATTTTTTTAAAACTTATTATTTGAAAAGCTAATGAATGCAGCTATAAACTTGCACTTTGGGATTTCAGCTGACCGTCTGGGAAAAATAAAAATAAAAAATGCAAAATGAACATTTATTTGCGGCTTTATTTTCAAAATTTTTACTTTTAAAATTTAGGAAAAGTCGAAAAAAATATATATCTTGTTTCCCTTTATTTTTTGTGTATAGCTGCTTTAATTAGGCGTCACATTTGTTGAGCTTCTGAGCTTCTTCAGTAGCGTTGTTTTGCGAGATTATATTTACAGTTTATTGTACTTAAGTTTATATACATGTAGTATCCAAAAATAGCGAAAGGTGTGCGGATTTGATAGCGAGAGCTTACGATGGGTCGATTGAAGACGCGGGCCGGTATTTTATTTATTTATATATTTATTTTAGGTTTAGTTTATAACTATGTAGCTGGCAGGTCACTGTGCCAGACTGCAAAACGCTTAACTACGGTGATGTTCGATCTTCTTTGCATAAGCAAAGGCAAACAAAACGGTGATAAAGAGAGACGTTATATTAAGAGATGTTACATATGCTCAACTGCTGCCATGGGCCGGCACTTAGCCGAACAGTATTGTTTATTAAAATATATGGAGAAACGGCTGAGCTAAAATTGGTGGACCCCCCGAAAATCACATTTTACCATTTGGAACTTATACTCGTTCCAAATGGTAAACCAAATTATAAAATAAAATCAAGCTCAGCGCTCAGTTCTCATCGTAATTTTTAGTCTGCTTGCATCGTCGCTGCGCTTCTGCTCTTTCAGACTTGGATTCTCGACACGTCGCTTCGTTCTCCTGCTCTCAAATCTATGACGGATCTTACTTGTGCTCAGCTGTGCTCTGAACTCATCGTAAGTTTTCATTCGCTTTCATCGTCGCTGCGCTCCCTGACTTGGACTTCTGCTCCATCTTACCGTTTTCTCACCCCCACTCTTTTCCTGTAACAACAACAACATGACACCACCAACGAAACGACAGCAAGAGATCACCGCCACGGACCTAAAGACCGAGATTCAGACGTTCCGTCACCGAAGCTATTGGATCAAGCTGAGCTGAGCTCAACTCCACCTGCAAGTTAAGACATAAGAAATAATGCATGGGTAGCCCTGATTTTTCTTTTGTCACCCTAACATTCCCCCAAGTTCTGTACTCAGAACGCTGAAGCAGCATATGTACATACATATGTGGGCTGCGCCTTCATTCCATTGGCCACCAGCAGTCGCATGATTCCGGCACATGTTGCGTGGTCAGCTAATTCCGATTATGCGCGGTCGGCTGCGTATTTCCGTTAGGTCTTAGAGTTAAGTTCAGTCTTGTTACTTTTGAAT